TTTAAACAAAAATTTTTTTGACTAAAAGGGGGGTGCGAAACGTGCGCTGGGATCCCCGGCCTCTACATAGGCCGCATCCAGACGTGCCTCCGGCTTGCATTACTTCCAATTCCATCTTGCTTGTGGCCCCTGGCCGCCTGCCACCGCTAGAGGCCTACCTGCAGGCTGCGTTGTTTTTGATTCCTGGGCAGATCCTCGGACTGCCCAAATCCTTGCTTGTACCTTGCAATCCTGCCTTGGTACTCCTCTAGATATAAGAATCTCTGGCTCCACAGTCTCTCCCCAGCAAGGGAGTTAGCAGCTCCGCCATTCCCCTTCCCCGGTCCGCCCGGCAGGGGCAGCTTATTGGCGTTCATTCTGGCTGATTGGCCCCTGGGCTAGGCCCTACTTCTCAACAACGTTGCAAAACATCTCTGTTGCCTTTGATAAAAGGGGGGTGCGAAACGAGCACTGGGAGTCCCGGCCTCTGTTTAGGCCGTATCCAGACCCGTTAACCGCCTCGCATTAATCAAAAATTTTCCTTTTCTCCTCCCCAGATGGCAGACGACAATTCCTCTCGTGGCACTTCCCTGAAGGCCAAGGCTAAATCTCACCACCTGCGCAAACAAGCACAGGAAGCATCCAAAGCCTCCCAAAGGGATGCCCTCAGGCGACACAGGGCACTTGAGAAGGAGATTGACAGACGCTCTAAAGAGTCTAGCTCTGTGCCTCTGGATCCTTCCACTCCCTCAACCTCCACCCATCCTCCTCTCCCCTCCTCCCCTGCTTCTGCCTCTTCCTCACAGCCTGGACAGGCCCCTGAGGCCACCTTACCCACCACTGCTGCAGGACTGCGCCCGGAGGAGCCTCACCCACCCCCCACGGTGGAAATCCCCGAAAGCCTGAAGCAAGCGATGGAGCTGGCCATCCGGCAAGGGATAGCGCAACAGATTCAGCAGCTGGCCGGTCTGGCTCCTCAGCCTGCGGCCCCTGAGGCTCAAGGATCAGCGGCTTCGCATGGTCAGGTACCTCCCCACGGGGACTTGACCTTACCCTTGGAGATGGAGGAGATGGAGGCCCAGGAACCCGGGGACCCTACCCTCTTTGGGGACGAGGAGGACCTCGAATTGGGGTCTCTCATAGACAGTGAGCTCTTCTCGGGAGCAGGCCCCCTAGAAGGGGACATGTCGGAGGACGAGGGCCTCTCTCCAGGCCAGCCCGCGTTTTTGGGGCTTTTTAAACCGCACCTATTTAGGTCCCTCCTGTTCAAGGCCAGGAATACCTCGGGCCTGAATCCTCCCCCCCCACCCAATCCAGTGGCGTCAGGGGTTCCTCCCGACTCTATTTTCTCCCAGCCTGTGGTGGAAACCGAAGTGATTCCTGTCCCACCCATATTCTCTGACATGGTCTCAAGGCAGCTAGCCTCCTCGGGGCCCCCTCCCCCCCCCAACGCCCAGGACAAGCGGTTTTTCAATCTTGAACCGCAGTTCTCTACCTTGCTCGATCCCCCCCTGTGGACGAGCCCGTAGTAGGTCTGGCTTCCCGCTCAACTCCCAGCGAGTCACTCGAGGCTCTCCAGCCTGAGGACAAACGAGCTGAACTGGCCCTGCGCCGTGCTCACCTCTCTGACGCCTGGGCAGTCAGGGCTTCCACTGCCGCGTCATTTTTCACCAGATCTTCCATCAAGTGGCTCCAGCAGCTCTAGCAGCATGTCCCCGCAGCTAATCTCAGAGTGCACCAGGACATTGCTAAGATTCTGGCCGCGGCCGAGTTCTCGGCAGACGCCACCTTCCAGGCTGCAAAATTCTCCACCAGGGCCATTTCGTCCCAGGTCACTGCCCGTCGCCTACTCTGGCTCCGCCACTGGCAAGCGGACGTAAAAAACAAGGCTAAGCTAACATCAGCCCCCATCTCTGGGGGGAAGCTATTTGGACCGGTTCTCGATCCATTCCTGGCCGAGACCCGTAACAAACGCAAGTACCTCCCTTCCCTTTCTAGGAGGTCTGACTTCAGAGGTTCCTCTCCCTCTTCTCGCCAAGGTTCTTCCCGTTCCTCCTCCTTCTCCAGGTACTACCAATCCTCTCCCTACAGGCCTCCCGACTGTTCGGAACCGGACAGGTCCGGAGGTACCTCTTCCAGGAAGCCCTCCCGGGGATCCGGGAGAGGCTCGTTCCGTCGTTCCCGATAATGCAGTCGCCCCCAGGTGGCTGCCCTCCCAAAAAAAAAAAAAAGTATAAAAACGAGAAGAAGGAGAGCGAGAAAGCCAATCCCCTTTCGGCTTCTCACCTAGTCAGTCTCTACTCTGACACTTAGCCCCTGCCAGACGCAGGCTCCTAGCCCGGAGCACTCTTGCCCTCCTCACCTTGCCCCAGGGCAACTGGCTGGCAACACATCTACCCCCATCCCATGTTAGCTGGGGTTCCTCCCTGTGCTCCCGGTCTTCACAGCCTCATAATCCAGGTACACGGATCTCTCGCTCCGGTCCTCACTACAACCCTTATTCCCAGCCAAGGCGGCCCTCGGCCAGCTGGGCATCTTGAGCAAGGCCGACCGCCTCGCCGTTGGGCGGAACCGAACCTGGCCCCCACCAGGACAGGCCACAGTTTCGGGAACTCTCTACGTCCATGCAATTTGGTTCTCCGGGGCGACCCTGATCCTAGCAGAGGGGCCCCTCCTCCTCTCCTGGGTCATGGAGGTAGTCCATTGCCGGGTCCCCTCGGCCCTTGGATTTTAGGGCCCCTTCACGCCTCCCCTCCATCACTCTGATCTAGAGTTCTCTCAGGGGGGTCCTCAACAAGGGTCTATCTCATAATACCCTAGGGCACCATATCGCTATCCTCGCAACGGTGGCTCTCCGGTCATTGAGGGTGCCTCCCCTCCACCCCGGTTAGGTCTTCCCCAGGGGAGCTCCCCATCCTCGCCCCTGCCCAGGCTCCTTCGACCCGGGTCCCTAACAAGGTTCTGGCCGCTCTACCTAGTCTCCCCCCGGAACCCTCCATGAGGTTCCCCCACAGGGCCTCTCTCTCTCTCCGACCGGGTCTTCCTTGTGGCCCCTCATCCGCTGGAACTCGGACATGGCAGTCCCTCTTAGTCAGGCTCTTGCGGCTCTCATCCTGAGTCCTACCACGCCTAGGCCCCCTCCATGGGCACCACAGTCTACACCGCTAGAAGTGCGGTCTCCTTGCCCCACGGCCCCAGTGGGCCTCTATCGGCGTCACCTGCAGGGCTGTCATCTAGACAGCCCCATCTCCTTCATTAGGCCTTCTCGTTGAGGCATTACAACCTCCGAGGGGTTCTCCTGCCGGGTGGGCCCTCCAACGGGTCATCGGGGTCCCAAGAGAGGTTCCATCCCAGACGGGAGCCCGCCCGCAGGACTAGCCAAGCTTTGGTATGTCCCAACCTGGACACTCGAGACAGCTCTATGGAAAAGGGGCGTTGGTTCTTACCTGATACGCTTCTTTTTGTAGAGCTGTAGAGAGTGTCCAGCCCCACCCATAGGCCGTCTGGTGGGGAACCTTGCTGTTCGACCGAGCAAACTAATATTTTTTTGTTTGAGTATGATGAGAACAGGACCTTTCTTCTCGTCTTCGCAAAACTGGGGAGCGCCCAGAGGACCACGTGATGGTGAGGGGGCGTTCCTCAATCTCAAGCTCAGCCTGTGAGAGCCGAGACTGGAGCTCCTCCCAACCTGGACACTCTCTACAGCTCTACGAAAAGAAGCGTATCAGGTAAGAACCAACGCCCCTTTTCAACAGTGTCTAGAAGTACCTTTATACACCAGCCATTTTTGAAAAGTTTTCTTTTAAATTATAAGACAATGTAAATTTCAGGTCTTTTAACCACATTGATCGGAGGCAGATTTGGACTTCAGGATTTTACTTGCTACTTAGATGTTTTGTGTTCATAAATGCACATTTTATGTTCAAAATATTATACTTCTCTACTCCCCCCCCAGTGGTGCAGGAGGCCGACTAGGCCACGTCCAGCATGCCCACGCTCACTCAGCAACCAGGCAGCAAACCCGTTGCTGAAATTTTTGAAGCCCACCCCTAAAGAGTGCGATAGCATGCACGTCTTGGTTTAATATTGGTCTTGTCTGGTTTTGGCATTCTGAATGGCACTGGGGCTTCTGGAATTCACACATTTCTATCTTTCAGCCATCTTGAACCTGAACAGTGAGCCTTGTTTCTAAATTGCCCCACCCAGAATAATTTTGTAACTAAGAAAGATTTGGAAGAGAGGTAAAGTCTCTTCTGAAATATTGTAAGTCCCCCCCTCCCAGGTTCTCTGTTAAATATAGATACACCAGATGTCTTTTGAAAGTGATGCTTGTGGGAGGAAAAAGGAACTAAATCTTTGCTAAAGTAATTTAGCCTTGTACTTTTTCTTCTGCATGGCAAATCGATGATCCGATGATAAATACCTTGTCATTTCTTTTTGAACACATTGTCCCAGGTGTGTAATAATGCACTGAAAGTGTGTGCAGTTCCTTGGCCTTAGAACCTCAGAAGTAAGAAATAATACAGCTTTTGGGTGAAGTAATGATTGGTGAAGGTCTGGACAATTATATTTGCAAGGGAAAGCCTTTCGTTTTACCTTTTCTATTGTAAACATTGAACTTTAGCTATAGGAAGGAGATGTCTCTTTGGTGGCTGAAGCATATTTCTGGTGACTGCTAGTATCTTGAATCTAAGCAAGGAGGAAAATTATACTGCTGCTGTGGAAGACTTTAGTAAACAATAATTTACAGTTCTTTCCCCTGGGCAGATTTTGTCAGCAAAAATAATCCCTCTAGTACAGAAATAGGTAATAATTTGGCCAACAGTGTTCTTCCAAAACACTTTGTTACTTGGATTAGGGCTATTATAAACAGCTATCTCGTAATGGAGAAACATGTTAGGCCAGTTTTGCTGCTGTCCGTCTGGCTAACATTCCTTGGCTGTTTGTCATATGTTTATAGACCCAGAAGCTTCCTCCTTCTTCTGAATAAATCACCACTCCCAGTTCTAAACTTTGCCATTCAAGGTTTGCAAAGAACTCCAAAATATCTCACAGGTGCGAATCGATCATGGAAACCTGAACTTATAATCCAATAAAAGTTTCCTTAATCACACAATCAGCGCTGGGATGATAAAGTGAAACATCTGTATTAATTAAAGTTTGGAGTTTGAAGCTTAACTTTCCTATGGGGCATAAGGGAAATCAGGTAAGCTGTTGTTGTCTATATGATTCTTTGGTCTAAAGTTGGTTTTCCTACCCTGATATCCTTGTTTTGTGATTTATTTTGCAAACAAAACATTTGACAAGAATGTTTCGTACTTTGTATTAGATGATATTCAAAGACTTGCAGTAGAATCTGTGTTATTAGTGTAGATAAGCATGGTTCTTTTGATTCCCAGGGTCTATTGCAGCTCCAGGCTTTTCACTTATTATCTGATAAAGGAAAAAAAACCCCAGCATGTCTGGCTTTTTTGCTTTGAAATATCACATTGGTCTTCTTCTAACTTCATTAGCTTTTTCACTATTAGAACATTTTCCTTCAGGGAGAAAAAAGATGGAGGGAAACCATTAATCCCCTGGATACCTTTTTTTTCCAGCTAATGTGTCAATTTAATTTCTATATCCTTTCCCTGTTCTCCTCAGTTTGTTCTCTCATTTGGTCAGACATCAATTCAAATTCTCTCTCGGTTGGGACCTTTCCTCCTTATGCTTTCTGCACTAAATTTGAGAAGCAGTGATAGAAAACATTTTTATATGAGAAAGGTGTAGCAGTTTCATGCAATGCGTGCCAAGGAGGCCCAGGTCATACTGGACCATAGTATATGTTTTTGTGTAGTTGAAGTCCACAAGTCTTAAAGTTTCCAGTTGGATATCCCTCTTCTAAACCAAAACAAACATTTTGTTTGTGAAATTTGGTGTTCACCTATCTTAAAAAGAGGGATAACAGTATTGGAATAGAGCCTTGCTGAACTCTGTGTCAAAGTTTTTCAAGGCTCCACTTCTAATAGACTCTAGAAAGAGTGCAGAGAAGAGCAACCAAGATGATTAGAGGACAGGAGGCTTAAACATACGATGAATGGTTGCAGGGCCTGGGCCTGGCTAGTCTAATGAAGAGAAGGACCAGGGGAGACATAATAGCAGTGTTCCAATATTTGAAGGGCTGCCACAGAGAGGAGGAGGTCAAGCTATTCTCCAAAGCACTCGAAGGCCATACTAGGTATAATGGATGGAAACGGAATAAGCAGAGATTCAACCTGGAAATAAGGAGAAATTTTTTGGCAGAGCATTCAACCAATGGAGCAGCTTGCCTTCAGAAGTTATGGGAGCTTCATCACTGAAAGCTTTCAAGAAGAGACTGGACTGTCATCTATCAGAAATGCTATAGGGTCTGCTTGGGTGGGGGGTTGGACTAGATAACCTACAAGGTCCCTTCCAACTCTGTTAATCTGTATCTACTATGTTTTTAATTTTGCCTAACTTCACAGAACTGCAAGCAATAGGTTTGGCACATTGAACAATGGACTGGGATCTACTAAGACTTAAAAAAAACAATGCTAGGGGTAGGTTTTGATAGAAAGCTTTAAAATTAAAGAGGTGCAAAATCTATGAGAGTGCATATAAATAATTGTGTTATTTTCCCTACCTGCTTCTCCCAAAATAACTCTTGTAATCAGTGTGCAGTCCTTGCCAAAACAAAACAAATCAAAATCCAGAGAACAGAAAGAGTGCCTGGAGTGCAAGTGTTAAGTACATGTTGGCCTACTTTGTTTTATGTCACCGTTGATTAAGCATGTGTCCTGAAGGGAGACATAAATAATTGTAGGTCAAGGGGAAACAAGATCTGCAAGATGCCCCATTTCATCTGGGCATGTGGCCTGCACATGGAAGCTGCATAACTGTTAAAAATAGAGGGTTGATTAAATATCAGACTCTCGTTGGCAACCCATTGTAGCTCCCTGGAGTTATGGAGGTCTGGTGGGTTGCCAAGGAAACACACATAACCTTAGAGGAAAGGTTTAGACTTATATCACCTGGAGTAGCATTTGGCTCAATCTGCAGACCAACTTGTGTGATTGCAAGTTGATTGAATGGAGATGAAAAACTGCAATATTTTAGAGCAGGGGCCTCCAACCTTGGCAACTTTAAGACTTGAGGATGTCAACTTCTGTAATTCTGGGAGTTGAAGTCCACAAGTCTTAAAATTGCCACGGTTGGAGACGCCTGTTTTAGAGGACATTTTGTTGTCTAATAGAAGAACGGCGTTGTAAATAAGCCCAGCTATAGTTGCTTATTTCTTTCAAGTCAGTTTACTAATTGCAGATAAGCCAACGTAAAAAAAAACGAGTCAAAAAGATTATACTCGTTCTTATTTCTTGAGGGAAATGATCCAAAGCTACATAATTTTAACATTCAGTGCATTACTGTGTATATTTGTCTATTTCTATTTTGAAAGTTACGTTGGGAATCAAAATGTATGAAAAGTTGTTTTTTAAACTACAGACGTAGAAAAAGACCAAAGAAAGATTCCACATCTGCATTAAGTTTCTTGCTCAAAACTATTATTATCCAATTAGCATATTAATTTATAGCTTTTCTCATATAATAAGCGCACACATCAAATTTATATCCCAACGTAGACCTCTTGTGCTATGTACTTGTGTGAATGGATCAAAGATGGAATACTTAGGCTCACTCAAAGCAGGCCATCCCGTAAAGAGGAGTTGTTCTGGAAGCATGCAGAAATTGCGGTCTTTAGCATGCAATAGATGGAAAAATATATAGACTTTTAAGAAGGCAAAATATGGATTGCAAGAGATGAAATAGTTTTCAGATCAAGCTGATCAGTCCTTTGTGGACTGAATCAGTAAATGCACTCAGAAAATAGGAGGCATGAGAAGAAAACCAACATAGGACTGGCCTAGATTGTTGCAAATTGTAAAATTGATCAGAACTGTAATCTATATATATAAAAGTGAAATACCACTCACGCATCATCACAAAATCTCCAGAACAATAAAGCCTACAAACTTGAAATTTGGCACATATGTTCCTCTTGGCTTCTAGGTGCTAAGAAAGGATTTTTTGAAATGACCATCAGATAATTAGTATTTTGTATATTATTATTAATACGCTCTGATGCTAAGGAGTTCTACTCCCCCTCCCCACCTGAAAAGAAATCTCCAAATGCAAAACACAAGCAGAGGAGAGGAGTTTCAGTTTCAGTTTCACAGCAGCAAGCAGCTTTACTACAGAACAGTTGATCTAAGCCACGCCCAGCCTCCTTGCTATCTCCTTGCTCACACAGCAAATACTGCTTCAGTTTCCAAACAGCCCTCAACTCTCACACACTGACAGGAGCTAGCCAGATGAATACCAATGGATTTTTTCTCCTTATTTTCCTCCCCCACAACTAAGCCCGATCACATAGTTTTGTATTGAAGCACAGGTATCCAGCTAGTACTTTATATTCACCAGAAAGAATGAGGAACTACAACTGGTATTTGGAGACAAAATACCAGTTTTCCCCATCACAGAGGAAACATTAACATTAATCACCCTTCAGAATACTTGACCTTTATGAAGTTATTCAAATACTTCTTAAAGCCTTCAGCTAGATCCCACAAATTAATTATGGGATTTTGGACACTTAAAAGCTTGCATGCTCCTTTGTAAATTTTCAGTTGATGTACCAGTTCAGTGTAGATTTTGGATTGTTTATTTTGGATTCAAAATCTATTACCACTATTTATTGAACTAACCATGAAAGTCTGGTCTTTGAAATTCCAAGCATCATATAAGTGGTTAATTCTCTTCTAAGCTAGAGAATTGCTTTCTGGAATTTATTTCTTTGTAGCGAAAGCAGAGAGCAGCTATTACTCCAAACTGCAGATTAAGGACCTGTCTGGATTCTATAGATATCTCAGGAGAATGGTAAGGGCTATTTTACTTGAGCAGATGGCAGCTATGCGGAAGCTTCCTAGCAATGATATACATAATTTTCATTAAGTCAAAATATTTCATCAGTATGTTGCCATAGGAACAAAGATATTGCACCCACTTTGAGGGAAATTTTTTTTTTTAGAAACGTTCCAGATGGATGTTGAAGTTGGCTGCCTGCCAGGATGTACCTCACAATGTTAATTTTGAGAAGGAGCAAAATGCATGGATGGCCCAAGAGGGATCTGAGAGTTCATCAGGGGAGTGTATCTGTAGGGGAGGGGGAAAAATCAGTTTTCAGATGAATGGAACGACTCATTTCCCCCCTTTCCCGCTATATCTGCTTTATGCTCTTGCAGCAAACACAACCAAGATCTTGTGATACTTTGAAAGGCTAAACAGATTTATTTATTGTGACATAAGCTTTTGTGGACTTGAGCCTGTTTTGGCAGATGCACAGTGTTAAAGTCAGTTAGCCGAGTGCTATGTGTGTTACATATCTCACTCCGGTTCTCTCTCCCTCTGTGTGTATATGTGAGAGGTTCTATAAAGAGAGCAAAAGGCCATTGGATATAAAAGGCAGCTGTCACTTCCTAGAGCCCAAATGTGTGCAAAATAAAACAAGCGATTGTTCATATTGGCAGGAAGCAACGATGGAACTCAGGGTCCAATTTAAACCCAACTGAATATAATGTGTGAGTAAATGGAAAACGTTGTAGTTAATGGACAGTGGTGGGTGCTAAGCATTCATCCTCCATAATAAACCTGAGGCAGCTGAAGCATCTCTATCATTCTGTGTTTTTTCCCAATGTGATGTTTACAGTTAAACACAGAAAAAAAGGAGAAAAAAAATACAGTAAAAATAAAAGCTATCCAGAATCCAGAGATTGTTAAAGTTGTTAGAGTAATTTATAATTCAACAGGCTTTCCGACATTAGAAGAGTTCTGGCAAGGGGCTGCTTATTTCTAAACCTTGATTTAAAACATGCAAATGCTGTGTGGTGTTCAAAGAAATAAATTACTATAGCTTAATATAGAGAGCCAATTTCGTATGGTGAATAAGGCATCAGCCCAGAACCTGGAAAATTGTTGAGTTCTATTCCTGCCTCAGCTGGGTGATTCTGGGCCAGGCATTGTTTCTTGGCCCAAGGACCAAGTAGTCAATGGCAAGCTATTGGAAAAAAATAAAAGTTGGCAAGAAAATTGCAGGGTTTAGTCCAGGCAGTTGCCAAGAGTCAACCCATTATGACAAAATATGGAAGAAATAAC